TTAGCCAATAAACCGCGGACTTCTACATACAATCAACACCTCAACACGCCAAGGTTGAACCCATGGCCCGAGCCCATGACTGTGGCGGGCGCTAACCACTGGGCCACCAGGATACTAAAAGCAGTCCTAGACTCTGTTATATTTCACACAAAGCCTGTTCAGCGAGCTTATGGCGCCGTGAACCTCTAATGGGGACTACCCGTATCACGTAGGTGGGAGTAACGTTTTACCAAATCGACTTGAAACCACGAGGATCCATATATATTTCACTAGCCCAATAAACCAGCGGACTTCTACATACAATCAACACCTCAACCGCCTCATTGATACGGGTAGTCCCCATTAGGGTTCACGCGGCCATAAGCTCGTTGAACAGGCTTTGTGTGAAATATAACAGAGTCTGGACTGCTTTTAGTATCCTGGTGTTCAATGATTGGCGTTCCCAGTCAGTCATCAAACTCTGAGATGAATGGCGAGGTGTTGATTGTATGTAGAATCTCGTGTTAGTTCAGAGATCAGTGGAAAATGCCTGATGACACCTCCTGAACATTTTCTTCATGTACAACTTCTTGAAGTAACTGATTATTCTGGTCCATTGGCTGTATGATTGATGTAGTGTTTGGAGGCAAAAACAACACTTTCACAAAGTCAAATTGATGCTCAAATTGCTGGCAAGGTCAGGGTCATGACCAGGGGCATTATCCATGAGGAGAAGAACGCTTTAAAGGGAGTTTATTGGTGGTTGGGTATCTCTTGACAGAAGGGCAAACACATCAATAACAGCCCATTCATTAAGTGCTGTCTTATTGCCATACCTTCACGGTTGGACTTCAATAAACTCAAGTTTTGTTCTTACCACTTTCTGTTGCTTGAACACCTGGGGTTTTCAGAGTGGTGAACAAGCATAAATAGTGAAATCCTGAAGCATTGGCACCAACCAATAAGTGAGAGCGGTCTTTCATGGGTTTATGCCAGGTAAGAGGCTTCATCTTTGGTGATGAATGTTCTTTTGGGCATCTTTTCCAGAACAGCCCAGTTTCGTCCACATTGAACACTTGCTGTGGAGAATGATTTTCTTCTTCCATCAGTTTTTAAATTCAACTAAACTTTGCTGCTTGCTTCTTTATCAGCACTAGCAGCTTCACCATGCCTAATAACACTTAAAATGTCACTTCTTTTATAAATTTTTTGAACCCGGCCTTTGCTAGCCGAAAATCTTCAGAATTCTGTTCCTGAAGAACCAGGTTGATCTGCCTTTAAATGTTCATAAATCTCCTGGCTCTTTCACAAATGGAAATCACCAGAAACTGAATCACCTTTCATCTGTTTTTCCCTAATCCAGATGATAAAGTAGCCTCTCAGTTTCTCACGATTAGAGATCTACTTTTAAACACTCTTGTGATTTGTCTCTCACGTTCACTTCTTTAAATTTGTCTTTTGTGCAAGAATTGTCGACACAGTTGATGCCGACATGCCATATTCTTTGCATAAGCGCATTTGATTTAATGCCTTGTTCGTGTTTTTTATTATTTCCTTAACTTTTATTTAGTTAAGTGCTTTTCTTAGTCTCTTAGGCCCCATGCTGGATTCAAACAATGTCAACACGTATTTTCCAAAGAAAGTTAAACTAGTTGTAAATAAAAGAATATTTTCTTTAAAATAACACTGCACTGCACTATATATTGTCAATATGTAAAACAAATTTCAAAATGACCAATAATTTGCTTAGGAAGCACAGAAAAAAAAGCACGTTTAGTTGAAGAGGAGTCTCAAGCAAGATGTTACCTCCAGTGAAAACAGAAGACTAACTCCTGTTTGCTGTGTTAGAGGCTGGATACGTGCATTAAACTAGTCACTTTACCTTCAATTTTGTTCAATAATTGTTGAAATATTCAAAAATTGAATATTAAACTTTTATAATTATTGATAGTATAAACTTCTTGATATTTACTAAAATAGTAAGGAATTTAAGCCTAGAACCGATTAATGTATTGGCGGACTGATACTAAAGCTGGTTGCGGTCAGTCTGGCAACATGTTGAGGACGGTTCGTAGAACTTAGTTAACCGAATTTTTTTAAGTTAACTTGATTGAAGATCCTTATGGAAGGCAGTTAGTTAATCGAAATTCGTTAACCGAGGTGTTTAGTTAAATGAGGTCACTGTATATATATATATATATATATATATATATATATATATATATATATATATATATATATATATATATATATATATATATATATATATATATATATATATATATATATATATATATATATATATATATATATATATATATATATATATATATATATATATATATATATATATATATATATATATATATATATATATATATATATATATATATATATATATATATATATATATATATATATATATATATATATATATATATATATATATATATATATATATATATATATATATATATATATATATATATATATATATATATATATATATATATATATATATATATATATATTATGTATATGTATATATATATATATATATATATATATATATATATATATATATATATATATATATATATATATATATATATATATATATATATATATATATATATATATATATATATATATATATATATATATATATATATATATATATATATATATATATATATATATATATATATATATATATAAATATACCATATATATATATATATATATATATAGACTCAAAAATCCAGACTGCTTGGGGATTGGGTTGGACTGGATTTCGGATTTTCAGTTCTCAGGCAGTACTTTTAAATTCAAATTTGGAGGAATAAAGAAGAGATGAACAGGTACATTTTGATAGTTTATTCATTAGCAATATAGCATCTTCATTTATCCAGAGCGAACAGTTTTAAAGAAAAGCTGTGAATTCTAGATTTTTATTCTTGGCCTTTTATATCATAAATTGTAGACTTTCAATGTAAGTATGTTTCCATTAGAACAGTATTGATCACGTGTTCTAGTCTCTTATTATTTCAAGTTTGTCACTCAATTTCAACGTGTTCTTCTTTCTCTTCACACATCGAAGATTATCTATGAGAGCCATTATTATGGGCTTGTACTCTGTAAATGGAAACAGTAGGACTCAATTACATACCTGTATCTTGTCACAGTTTGATTGCTTTCGTTTTAAAGTGGCGACGTGTGGTTAAGCTTATTTATTCTGTGCAGCCTTGGCGCTCAAGCATGCTCACATACACACAAAAGCCAGCTAAACAAAAACAAAACAGTTTTAGAAAAAGTCCAGATTTTTTGGATTTTTACTGTATATATATATATATATATAATATATATATATATATATATATATATATATATATATATATATATATATATATATATATATATATATATATATATATATTTATCGGCGATTTGATTATGAACTTGTATATACTGTACTGTACACTGTATTGTTTACTGTAGGGCCGATGTTCACTTCAATAAATAAATTAGCTAAGTTTGCTAGTATTTTTGTCCACTATATATTATTATTTATACACTATTATTTAAGGTTATGTATAAGAAAGCTTAATGCTTAAAGGTACATTTATTCAACATATGCTAATAATAGTTAGAAAAATCGTAACCATCACAGTATCAGCCGGTTTCTTTATATTGACGTCTACAAACAGACTTACGTCGATAAAGAGAGTACTATATATATATATATATATATATATATATATATATATATATATATATATATATATATATATATATATATATATATATATATATATATATATATATATATATATATATATATATATATATATATATATATATATATATATATATATATATATATATATATATATATATATATATATATATATATATTCGGCTTAACAAAATTTTCGGTTAACGAATGACTGTTTAACCAATTGTGGTCGTTAATCAAGGGACCACTGTATATAAAATAAACCTTTGAAAACAAAAATTAAAATTTTGCGCCATTTTCAATATTCTCCTGTCTGGTGCAGCAAACAGACGCCACCCTTTCCCGCCTCAGATACCCACTGCTCCGAGAAGCCTCAGTCCACACATGCCTACCGTACTCTGAACACTATTGTGATTACCTCTTCTGTTTGTCCTCCCACGTGCATTTCACATGGCTCCGGGACGTAAGCCAGCCTCATCAAAGGCAAATATTACTAGCAAAGACTCTAAAGTGACCAAGAGATCAAGAATAGTGATGACCTTAACGGAAAAAACAATTTTATTGGACAAGCTCAGAGGTGGTATGAGCTATGGCTCGAGATGTGAAGTCTGACAGTTCATTTGTGTCTTTTGTCAGAATACAAGTCTTCAAGTGGAGGAATGTGGGTGGAAGAGGACTGGCTGACTGGCGTGACTGCGTGAGGGCTTTCAGATGCCGGGACAGCAGGGAGAGGCTGGCAATGCGGGTGTTGCTGATCTCAGCGAAATATAAAATGTTTTATTTACTTGCAAATAAATTTTTTTTGCATATAACTGTGTTTATGTTTTTCCATTATTATACTACAATATGATTAGTTTCAAATAATGATGTTAGTAAATGCCGGTACAGTGCATCAGTGAGACCACTGGGCCGTGAGTGGAAAGCATGGCGTGGTTAAGTGCATGACCTACCCGAGCTGTTTGGTGGCCACAGGTACAGTGATTCCTAAAAGAGTATTCGCGGTTTTGGCTTTTCGCGGGGGTTTCAGGAACTTAATTCCTGCAAAATACACGGGATTACTTGGGAACTCCTGATCTGAGGCTTAATACTGTAATGGGACCTTATGGATAAAAATGCTACAATATTGGATCAGATTATAAAAAAACATAACCCCATCCTATATTGGGGGATGGCTGTACTCTTCATTGTACCTAATATTTACCCTTGTCACTGATTTGCTATTAAAGTTATGAAGTATGGGATCATGTTCCATATTTGGTGCTCACATTTCATTATTGATAAGTATAATTTTCTACATAAGATGTATGTTAATCAACAGACAGACCCTGAGGGTGACACGGCAGTTAATACCAGTAATGTGTCAGAAGACAGTGTAGCTGCTACAGAAGGAGAACATGACCCTTATTTTGAGCCAGTAGTTACTCTTCCTGAAGTTCATATAAAAACTAATGAAGAAGAAGAGGAGGAGATGATAAAGCTGTAAGTTGAATTACTATTCATGTTGTATAATATATCAATACCAAACATCATTTTGGTTCATATTTGCTATTTTCATTTCAGGAACCTTCTTAATTTCACTCCTAAGCCATCAACTAATACTTGAAGATTCATATATAATATTTTCCCTCTTTCTAAAGCATTTATGCTTAATGCAAAAATTTAATTAATAGAAAGCATGCTTTTCTGACGGATTACAAATGTTTGGTTGCCATCAATTGTGTACTGAGTCAACAGAACAATGCATATTAATTTGTTTGGCTTAAGTATTGTTACTTTTGTTTTATATGAAACCATGTTCAAGAATCCTATTCATGTTTATTTTCTAAATTGTAGATATTAAATATTTGTTAGTGGCAGTAACTAAGGGTAGCTGTAGATTTTAGATGAAGCTAAGTACTGATTACCATAATTAAAGTACAGTACTGTACCATAAAATTACAACTTTATAGTTGCCCGCTGCTTTGTAGATGTAACTGACAAGGTGGTATTGTTTGGGCTGTAACAATATTTGGGATGTACCTGTATTACAAATTTGCTGAGTGTTTGGTAATTGTGTTGTATGACAACTTGTATTCGGTGCAAAGAATAATGGTCCAGTTGTGGATTCAGAAGGAGGATGCATTATTTGAGGATTACACTCCACATCTTCCACAAACCATATTTTTAGAACTTACCGGGTACATTACAGTTTGTAACTCATAAATTACCCCAAAAGGCAATACATATCCCTATTTTTTCACACCATTCATCCTGTTTATGATAATTTTCATATTTAATGTTCATGATTTAACAAGCAGTTACCATTATCCACAGTATAAACTAAAACGAACTCCTAGTGTCAGAAAGGATAGTTTGATCGTGAAATTTTCATTTCCAGGAGATGCAAACTTTTCCGTTATCACACTGTTGAGTCTCCAGCAGAATGGAAGGAGCGAGGGACTGGGGATGTAAAGATTTTGAAGAATGGTAGCAAGAAAACGGTGAGTTTTTGCTGCACACATACACTGTACTGACAGTTTGTAGAGTTTTTAAAAACGCTTGTAATTTGGCCCGTGAAATACTCGTGCTTATGCATGTGACAAAACTGTGGCTGGCATTTGCTGAATTTGTGTGAATGTGCCCAAACACCATACAGTAGGCTCTCGCCAATAACGACTTCCACATTAACGTTTTCGACAATAATGGTAAGTTACAATCGACACCCATTTTCGATAATAACGTCTGGATTCTCTTGAATAACGGAAATTTCGCGGGAATCGTCCGAGCGCATCAATGATAGCGTTTGTTTGCCGCCATGTTGATGACGTAGTTGTCCACTCCGCCTCACTCTCACACACGCTCAGTGGAATACAGCGCTGCGCCCACGCGTGAGATTTTCACCACTATAACCAGTGGTTGTTAGGGTCGGTGATCAATAATGGCTTCTGCATTTTTGCCTGTGGGGGCTAGGGGAGGTGGTGGAGGGAGTGGTTTGCCACCTGAATGACAGGGAACTTTTAAAGTGAGGAAATTGAACCATCCTGAGTCTACAGTGCGAAATATTAAGAGGAACTTAGAGGAGACCAAGAAGAGTATTGTGCTGGCTAAAAATATTTCGGTAGTGATGGAAATGCAAGGCGAGCTATGAATGATAAAGGCGATAGAAACAGGTTGTTAGTGATAACAGAGCATTTTCTTGTGAAATGGTTAGCTGGTAGAATGAAAGCCAGTGCAAGTGTTAGTGACCCTCAGATATGGAACAATCATCACACCAAGCACCTCAAAAACTCCCCCAAACTAAGTGTTATATTACTCAAACTCTTTATTTTGATGATTGAATAACAATTCTTTTTATTTCAGCTAACAAAAAGTGTTAGGAGGGCTTCAAGGGGAAAAAATGGGTGAAATTCTAGTGGCAGCGGCACCAATAAACCCTTTTTACATGTATTTTAATGTCACACAAATAACATTTTCGCTAATAACGGTGTTTTTCAGGCACCTATTAAACATTATTAGTGAGAGCCTACTGTACTTATTTTGCATCAGGTTGAGTTACTTGGTTAACCTGAAAAGTGCAGTCAAGCCATTTGGCGTCTCGGACAAGGCCTGCGCACATTCACATTTACGCTTTTCCCTTTTGTTACTGATATTGCTGTAAATAATAATCTATAGAAATATGAAAGAGAGTGAAGGTGGAAGAGAACTTCCTTGATGCCAATTTTGATATGCAACAAGTTTACTATTTGTCTATACTGTATCAAAGTGTAAGGAGCTGTTCTACAGGCGAAAGCTATTGTGGCATAATTTCGTAGTACTGTATATAATCTAGGAAGAGGAGCAAGTGTTTGTTACTTCTGGTTTGAAGCAATCACCGGTCATGGGGCACATGAGATCGCTTTGTGTGTACATGATTTCCTAATGGATGCTGATAGAAGAGATGTAAGTGATGTTGCACTTTTTAGTGATGGTTGTGGAAGCCCAAATAAGAACTCCATTCTACCAACCATGTTCCTCCATTTCTTAGAAAATTCTGTCTCAATCCAATGTGTCATTCTGTACTTTTTTAAGCAGATCATGGACAATGCAAAGGCGATGTCCCAACTCCAGTCATTTTCAATCTGGAACATGTAACATTCCATCCCAATTTACCTCACTGTGGTAATAGTAAACCCCTTCACCCACAGATTGGATTCTAAAACACCTGTCTTAGGACGTGGTTTCGAGATAATGGACTTGAGCATAATGATGACGTATGAAAAGCCTTATTGTATTAAGATGAATATGAAGTATAGGTACAGTACATGAATAATATATAAATAATTTGTCTTTAATGCATTCACTGTAAATAAAGAAGTATTAAAGCTCTTTAACACTCTCGGGATTGCCTGAAATTTATTTAAGGAGCCTCTCACTCGCTCTGTTTGGAACCCACAGAATAACCAGAAATAGAAGAGAAAATATGTTTTTCCCTTAAGTTATTCATGGCTAAGATATTGTTAAATATTTATTCAAATGATGCCTTCCTATGTAAAAAAAAAAAGGCTGGGAAATCACATGAAACCGTCAAAAATATAAATAATAATAAATAAAAGCCAATTTGGCGAGTAAAAGTAAAAAGTGAGAGTTTACTGTTGAATTCTCTTCATGCTGTACCCACATCATTGCAACAATCAGTTTAAAATGAACATGACAAAAAAGAGTAAATCACGAGGAAGATGATGGTGTAATTAGAACAAATATAATGTAAAAAGTCATGGAGTTATAGACTAGTGACACTAACTAAACTACAAACATCAGATTTTCTGATGTTTGGGCATCAAAATGATCTAATTTCAGTAGTACTCAGAAATGCATAGCTATATCCAGGGACAATATCCTTGGATGCTATTTGTACTGGCAGACTTGACACTCACTTCCTTAACAAGTGTTACGAACAATAAAGACAGTTAAAGCTTTCAACATCACTCACAAAGGATCTTGTATGCTTTAACTGTAATCAGACATATCTAAGTTGACTCAAAACAATGGTGTTCTCTCTCACATTCAGATTTACTTTATAGAGAGGTTGGTTTCAGGAAGTCGGAGAAAATGGGAAAACGGAGGACTCAGGCGTCTTGAAGCGGTGAGAAAACGGACGCCTCAGATGGGAGACTCAATAAAGAAGGCATAGCTACATGTTATGTGGGCTATTGAGCATAATATGAATCGTCTGATTTTACGATAATTGACTTGTATGACCGTGGTCATTACACGACTACACTTGTTGGGAAGTACCTCTCTCCGGCAACACTGCTGACAATCAGAATCACACGGTCGTTGGCTTAGGTTGTACACGTCAGTTAACGTAAAATCAGACGATTCATATTACGCTCAATAGCCCACAAAACATGTAGCTATGCTCTCTTTATTTGAGTCACTCGTCTGAGGAGTCCGTTTTCTCATCGCTTCAGGACGCCTGAGTACTCCGTTTTCTCTCTATCTTAGAGTGCACCTGAGACTTCGTTATTCCTTAGTATAAAGACAGAATTTAAAATTGCAACTGTGGTTGCATATGTTGAGGCAAGTTAGATATGTCTGATTACAGTTGGAACATTCAAGATCCATTGTGAGTGTTGTTGAAAGCTTCAACTGTCCTTATTGTTGGTAAAACTTGTCAAATCAGTGAGTGTCAAGTCTGTCAGTATGAGTGGCATATCTTTATATCGTCCTTGAGGATAGCCATGAGTTTCCAAGTGCTACTGAAGTTAGATTATTTTGATGGCCAAACATCAGAGAATTTTAAAGGTTGCTGCCACCAGACCCCCTCTGGGCAGTATGTAGCTCGTTAGGTAGCGTGCAGAGTGGACTAGGCATTGGGTTAGGTTGTTCATTGACCAGATCGATAAGGGGAAAGAAGGGTGAAACCATAACATATCTTAACTAATTTATTCCTGATTAAACATACGGCATTCCGGTAAAATATAAATGAGTTGGCCTTCCTCAGAAGAACAACGATGATTTTGGTTACCCTTCTTACAATAACACTCCACACGTCAGACTGTTCCACCTGTATGGTAATATAGCACATTAGGTCATCATACATAGTAACACCATCTCACCTCCCTGTAGCACAAGCTCACCACACCTGTTATACTCCACAACTGCAAGTATGGGACTCCTTGTAATTTCTAGGTACACATATGAGGCACCTCGTTCGCACACCACCCTCGGTGGGTAGAGAGGAGGGTTTCACCAAGAGACATACCAGTACTGTTTCTACGCCTGGTATTATAGGTCGCTCCAAGTGACGACCGCGGAGTTTCTCACGTATTTCATTATGTATTCCTACTCATGTGTGGTGGTATGCCAGGAATCCACAGGTTCACAGTGGATTAGCATAGCTGGGGGTAGTCATCTCACGTGGAGGGACGTTCACGGGGGTAATGGCCGCCGTTCTGGTGAGTCAGAGCGCGCGGGGGACCTGGGTTGATGAAAGGAGCAAGCACATCTGAAATAATGCCTGATTGGCTTTATCACATACCCTAACATTACTATTTCACTTTCTACATCAGGCAAAGGTTTAAGGTATTATAACTGCTTCAAGTCTTGTTTTAGGGCTGAATACAATCCGATGAAGTTCACTGACCTGGGTTGATGAAAGGAGCAAGCACGTCTGAAGGTCGATGCCCCCCGCTCCTATTTGTTTAGGCCTACAGTTTCCAATCTTTAATTTTCCCTTTGATTTCTTATGGTTCCCACATGAACACTTTCCCGTATATTGTAACCTCATGTCTAATAAATACTTAATTAAATCCTAACTTACATAAGCCGAATGTTCATAGCGTGGGTATATCCACTTCACTTAAAACTGTAATTAGGGATCCTCCCCTTACACATTGCACGACTTGAAAAAAGACATAAGATTCTCTGATCACTGTACTTGTCGTGGGTATACGCCACCCGAGGATGCGAGGTGTATTAAGTTCTTTTTTACTTTTATCCTCTTCGCCACTGATCGGCTTGTCAGCCGCTTGGGCGATCGGTCACGTCTCTTTTCATTTATATTCTTCACCAAAAGATCGGCTCGCTAGCCGCCCGGGCGATCGGTCACGTCTCTGTCACGCACTGTTGGCAAATACTGAACCCACTCCAGTGTTGGTCAAGTCTTCTCTTGAAAGAGCTCACACTCGGTGCCGTCACAACACTCTCTGGTAGATTGTTCCAAGAGTTTACAACCCTCACTCCGAAAAAGTTTGCCCTCACGGTTTTCTGGACTTGCGGCTTCTTCAATCTTGAGCTGTGACCCCTTGTGGGGCGAGTGTTCGCCAGCTCCAAGTAAGGACACTCAACTGAGTAGTGCCCCCTGAGATGCTTATACACCTCAACTAGGTCCTCCCTTGCCCGTCTGTAGTATAAGTTAGGCAATTTCAGGCGCTCCAATCTCTCAGGGTAGCTGAGGTGCCGAAGTGCAGGCACCAGTCTGGTGGCCCTCCTTTGACATTTTCAACCAACTGACAGTCCCTAGCATATCTCGGGGACCAGATGGGGTGACAGTACTCCAGATGGGGAA